GCCATTTGGTTGGAGAAAAATGGCGATTTGTGCGTTTATGGTGTGTTTGAACTGTGACTGAAATTTTGTGATGAAATTGAGTGCATGGTTGTGTAATTGCCCGATTGAAATATGCCTGTTGGGTGCACGTGTGGGCCAGACTAATTTAATTATTAAAATTGGCCATGTCAAATGCTGAGTGAGCATGGATTGTGTGTAATTGATGCGTGCACGGGCCACGTGTGATTGGCCAGTTGTGTGTGGTAATTACTTGTTGAGCATATGCCTGAGGAAGAAAGTGGATGTGGTATGACATGAATTCGTGAAAATTGTGCCGTCCTAAGGCGTGTACGTTTACGCGGGACGATGCCCGGTATTACCGGAAGATCGCTAGCCTGAGGCATGTACTTCAACGCGGGTTGTGCAGTAGGTGGTAGGTGTTGAGCCTGAGGCGTGTACGTTTACGCGGGCAAGAAACATGGCCTGACGCGTGTACGTTTACGCGGGCCCGGAAGTGTTGTGGAAAGAGGTCGCAGTGTACCTGAGGCGTATACTTTAACGCGGGTCACCGGCGAGGAATGTGGATGAGATATGATGAGAACGAAATGAGTGCATGACATGAGAATTGTGCATGCTTGTGATTGTACTGATGTGCCTGCTATGTGATAATGGTATGTGTGTAATTGTGTTTGTGAAATTGTCTGGAGGTACGTGATAGCCTAGGTGGAGTTTAGGGGTGAACTTGATAAGAAGTGTTCTCATGGTTGTTTGAACCAACATTTTCAGAACCCCGACCGGATCCATGAATCCTCCACCGCAACCACCAGAACGTTTTGGAGTATCCGTGCACACCGACCTAGAAGTCTTAGAGTTTCCGATGAGTGATGGTATGACCTGGATTAAGCACACTACTACCGTTTTCGTAGACGTAGGTTTACCCCTTTGGGAGGAGCAGAAGTACACTGCCTGGTTCTTCCGGGATGCGGACGGGGCTGAGTTCGGACCCGTTAGGGGTTTCGATGTTCCGTTTGATTTAGTTGGGGATTGGGACCCGACTGCTGTACCCCCGATTGATGGAGAGTTGACCAGTACGGAGGTTAGCGTAGCGCAATCTGGGATGCATCTAGCACCCGCCGCTCAGGGATCTTCGGAGGCTAAGTATGAGCCCGAGCCCGAAGCATCGCAAGCTGAGGATGACCCGATGGACATAGACTTAGAACCAATCCCCGAAGAGGAACCGGAGGAAGAGGAACCAGAAGAGGTGGAGCCCGAGGTAGAACCTGATGGCGAGTCTGAGGAGTCGGAAGAGCCTGTAGGAGATCCAGAATATGTACTCCCATATGAACAGTATATGGATCCCAATTTCGTGCCAGAATATAATTTCTTTGATTTCCTAGCCGAGGAGTACCAGAACGCTGTTCCAGCTGAGTCGGGTGACATTGATCATCCGATTGTGATTGAGGCGGAGCCGGAGTCTTCGGAGGAGCAAACTGATCAGAGGAGTTCAGATTCAGATGGCGATGAGTCAGACTCAGAATGGACGCCTAGCAAGGGGCGTAGGGATTAGTATAAGGGCTCGGAGTAGGTTTTTGCAGAGTACCATTTTTGAGGTTTGGATGCCAGGTCATTGATCTTTTGTATATCGATAGTATCAAATGTGGTGTGCAAGTGTTCGCAGTGGTTGTATATTGTAAATAGTTTATAAGTTGGTAAATGAAAATATGTATATTCTCCCTGACTCTCCCCGTTGAATTGTCCGGGTGTGCTTGTGGTTTTCGCCGTGCATTAAATCTCTAATGATTGAATTATTGAGGTCGGCGATTTCCTGGGACATCGCATAAATCGACCAGTGGCGGATGTCGCGGGCTCGATAGGGTTCGGGGCGTGACATTTGGTGGTTTGGCAATTTATTCTTCCTAGTACCCCAGGTAAATTATTGATTGGGTGTTTGATGTTTCCGCCGCGATTAAACTCTGATGGGTTCGTTTGGGTCGGCGACGTTTCCTGGGACATCGCACTAATTTGACCGAAGAGGGATGTCGCGAGCTTGATGGGGTTCGGGGCATGACAGCAAATGCGTGGAGAAGACCACAGATCTAAAAACCCTAGCGACTATCGCTGGAGGGAGGGAGGGAAAGAGCGATAGGATGATGCCGAGACGGAGAGAGCACAGCTGGAGAGTGAGTGAGAAGGGAGAGAGAACCGCTGGAGAGTGAGTCAGGTCAGTGAATAAAAGAGAGATAGAAAGAGGTGTAAATTAGGGTTGGCTGATCAGTATACTGGGCCGATTCTGTCTGTTGGGTCCGGTTAACTTGTTTTCCTTAGCATCTTTCATTGTTAAATTTTCAAAATCTGGAGTCATTTTTCTTCAAAAATTATATTAGTACTGAGAGTTCAACATCTACGCGCTTTACTATTTAATGGATAAGCCAAAAAGATAGATTTAATATCCTTGATCCAAAACAAAAGCATCCAACCCTATACTCTAATTTAACAAATTTTGTGGTTTTCTATTTTTCCACATTTCATAGGTCTTTGTTTAGCAGCGAACTCAAGGATGGCCTCTTGCCTTACTAACTATGGCGCTAGCTGCACCAACCTATTCGAAGAGTGCATAACCGCATAGATAAGCCATCATATCCATAGTTTTATGCAAAATTCTATTAGCAATACAACATGTAGTATGTAATGCTTCACCCCATAAAACTAGAGGCAATTAGCACTCAATAACAAAGTTCTATATTTTCTTTCAGCTACTCCGTTTTGATTAGGGTCATAAGGCACGGTTCTTTCATGAATATTACCATGACTTTCACAAAAATAAATAAATTCAGGTGGAAAATAATCTTCACCTCTAGTACTTCTAATTCTTTTGATTCGTTGTCCTAATTGATTTTCAACTTGTGCTTTAAAATCTTAAATATACTTAATGCCTCATCTTTATTGTTTATTAAATAGACATATGGTTTTTTAGAAAAATTATGCATAAAAGTTATAAACTATCATCACCCGCCTGGGTGGCGCTGCTGGAAAGGGCACTCTTCCTCTCGCAAAAGGTTGAGTGTTCGAATCCCGGGCGCCGCAGGGTGACTTAATTGGTGCACGTGTGTGGTGGCTAGCACGTGTCGCCCCCAGGGTTTACCTCCCGGCTGTCGGCCGTGCGGGGGTTCCCTGGGTTACCAAAAAAAAAAAGTTATAAACTATCTTTTTCCTCCTCTAGTTAAATCATTATTATTATCACTTGTATCCGTATGTATTAACTCTAAAATACTAGTAGATCTAGTAAAGGACTTAGTGAATTTTCTAGTAATTTTAGTTTGAAACATGACATTTCCATATTTCATCAAGAATATTTTTATTTACTCTAGGCACTCAATCACATTGTAGCATTCTATTCATGGTTCTCTTGCCAATATGACCAAACTCATAATGCCAAACACTATGCGTATTAATATGAAAAATAAATTCAACACCACAAGAGTAATCAAAAGACATATTACTATCATTATTCATCAAAATGAGCAAGTAAATCTTGTTGTTGGCATTTTCCAATAAAGGATGCCTCTCTAGTGAGAATCACTTTATCGGATGCAAACATCACACGAAATCCATAAAGACCAACCATGTACACCGAAAAAAGACTCTTGTTCGACTTGGGGACATGGTGAACATTTTTAAGAGCAAGAGTTCCGCCCGAAGACGACACAAGATATTCTGACGATCACACTCGTACCCGAGTTCCCCCTGTAAACATGCACGTGGTCATTCATCTCCACATAGGAAGTAGAAGCACTCTTATGAGAACTCACATGACATAGTCTACCTCCACTATACAAGTCGAGAACGGCAACAAGATTATCATCGACATGGTTGGCTTGCTGCCCACATTGTTCCTTTTGGTCTTTGACATATCATCAAGCTGCTTGCCATCTGTGTGATGCGTGAAAATCAATAGATCTATTTTTGGTGGATCCTGAAATGGATTAAGTGTAGGAAGGGGACTTCAAGATTTTGGCCATTGGTCAATTGAAGACTTAAGATAAAAACTTATTCGACATCACTATACATGTCCAAACTTGCAATTCTAGTAAGCAAGAAGACGAGTCTGGCTAATCGTGTTCCTTTTTGTTGATTGGTTGTTGGCAGCTGAAAAACGAAAAAGAAAAAATCTGGCAGAAGAGTGCTTCGCCGAAAACGGTCTTCAAAGAAATACCTTTCACCGAAGTTGGCTCTTCGGCTTTTTGTGTATATCGGGTTCTGTGTTGGTTAGGAAAGGAAGAATTCGGTTCTAACTAAGCAAAAACTAAGGATAAAGTAAACAATGAGTGCAGATAAAAGGCTCAAAGCAAATGCGAATAAGAAGATAACTTGCGAAATTAAAAATATGTTGTTTCATTGATTGATCGCGGATCCCTTACAACAATCCTTCATTAGCTATTTATAGCCAGACTAGACAAATAACCATCACCGCGGTTATTTTTTCAAATTCAAACTATTCCCGGAACATTCGGGTTGTTTTCCTAGCAACCGTATTTTGTTAACCATAAGGCAGTTGAATTTTGGCCTTCACGGATTCTTCGGTAATTTGTCTACTATTCGCTTATCCTGTTTTCTGAATCAAGGCTCGTGCTGAGCCATCGGTAACTGCAGCCGTCCTTATCCACGGGCTTCTTTTGACTCGTGAGCTGACTTCTCGATAACACTTCTGAGCCTTATCAGTTTGCCGTGGCCCATGAAGGTTATTTATGGATGTCAACAGAAATGTATTGAATTCTCACTGATTTCATGCAATGTTTTCTAACCGGGTCTCTTTTCAACAAAGGAAAATGTATATGTGCTTGATTGGATGAGAAACCCTCCTTTAGCTTAATTGAGTATAGGCAAATGAAAAGAATTATATTACGTCAGATTTTTTTTGGGTCAAATATCACGTTTGAGTTGACTATGCTCAATTCTCGCAATATTTATCTATAGATCAAGATAGGGGTCAGTGATATATATATATGGTCCACCATCGGGTTGGTTCCACATAGCGAGGATTGCCAACTTCCTCTTGTCGCCGTAACGAGCCAGAGCTAATGAGATTGATGTTTTGCCTCTTGCATGGAGGTCCACTTAGTCAACTCTTCAGAAAAATAATCACGGAACACTAGCACAATTCCCTGAATTAGATGAGAGTACCTGAAGAATTGCAGCAACCGTATCAACAGACAATGCATTTGAAAATAAGATATTACGAGGCGGTTATATTTCAAGATTGTACACAAAAATGATTTCGATGAAGTTAGGAGGATGGCATGAGGCAAGTAATATACATCGTTTCTCAGTACAAAATAGTAAAGCAATGCACAATCGGAAAGAGTCGGGCATTTACAACAGAGTTATCAATACATACATGAAAACAGACATGCAAAAATTCAGTTGAACTACCAAAACAGTGCCCTCCTCTCACTCAACAAAACCGCGGAAGATGGATTTCACTGCTTACTACTTCTAGCATTATGCTTTGAACATAATAAAGGCTGAACCTCACAAAAGTCACAAGTTAGAAAGATCATATGGCCAGGAGCAGTACCACAATTCCTTTTCTCATATTAATTGGCCAAAGCTGGAAATAACCAACCCAGGTGAAAGATTCTCACTAGCAAAGCCTTTTGTGAAATTACAAATGCAGCAACCACACCAATTGGGGGACAAAGGCAAATGCAAGTTCTTGAATGCGAACACAGGCAAAAACTAGACACCTCATGCATAAACTCAAGTTAATACTGTCAAATATCTACCCTGTATGAAATTTTTTTGAGGATAATGATAACCATGGCTTAAAATTTTAGATGAAAACCCTCAACAATGTCCTGCGGCTCACTGCTGGATAATATAGGTTGGATTGTGGCCACATGCAAGTGGCAACCAGCTAGGGTGACATTAGCCTGCTTAACCTAACTTTGTGTCATTAATGTTGCAGCCTTTGGCTTTAGAGTGATAGTGGCATGAGGTTTGGCTCTTGGTAACCAATGGTAGATTTTCAACTGCCCAACAGTTAGTGACGTGAGAACCTAGTGATGCGATCCCGAGTTTGTGAGCCAAGAGATTTCGCATGTAAATGTGACCCAAATGTAATCCCGTGCCTTAGAATTGTATCCTGAGATATTGTTGAGGAGTTCTGATCAAACATGAGCCAGGATATATTTGTCAAATGTTGCATCCAAAATGTGCACAATATGCGGCATCTCTGGACGTTAAGCTAGAATACGATATAAAAGCATGATGTATGTGTGGCCAGTGCCATTAGCCAAGCATTACTGGAAAATGGTATAAATATCAAGTCAATAATCATTCTTCTGGTATGCAAAGAGCCTAGCCCTGATTGAGATACCAAGCTTGCTAGTTGCCAAATGGCCAAAGAATTTCCAAATAACATAGACCTAATTATTCTAAAATGAATGAATATCGAGCCAATAATTTTGCTTTAAATGTGACCATGTGCCTAAGTAATTAATCTTGATATAATATTGTTGAATGCTGATCAGACGCATGAACCAAGAGTTCCATTTTCCCTCCAACAGAGTGAGTACCAGGAGAGAGAACACCGGAACCGATAGCAGTTATTTGTCAAACTCCAACATGCCAAAAAAATGGGGCTTTCTAAGGTACACTTCACCACTTTCAAAGATTCAACATTCTTAGAAACCTTCATGAGGAGATCACAAAGTAACACATGCATATATGATTAAGCATTAAAGAATTAAGGGAACTGTTGAGATTGCATACCGCTGCCTAAATTCATCAAAATGCTCCAGGATAAACAAGATGCATGACTTCTTCAATGACGTCGCATGTGCGTCTTCAGAGAGCTCTAACATAGCTGCAATATTTTCCAATGATAAACTCTGCAAAATACACTCAACAATGAACTCGGGAACCAAAAGGAAACTCACAAAAGCATTACTGGCTAACCTCTTCGATGGCATGTTGGCAAAATCTCTTAAGTTCTTCCATGAGATATTGATCAGCAGCTCTGAGAAGATCTTCTGCAATGTCCAACGTAACATCAACCGACCCTGTGTATGTGAACCTGTACTAGTAAAATGGGCTAATGAATTGGAGAATAAAGCATAAATGTTTTTGGCTATGTTGAACTATTCTTATGCTAACCTCATCATTGCCGCAAAAACCTCCCGTTTAATGTTTGGAATCTCTACGTTAGTTGCATCCTTCTCCTGTAATTATGCAAAAAGTTGAAATAATTAAAAAAATACTTTCTACCTAAGTTCACCGGTCTCTAATTTCATAGTTTAGTAAGGCTTCTTTGAAATGAGAGCAGCTGAGGTAGTGTGGCGCTTTTCTGTACGATATAAGAGCCAAATGCTATAAAAGCATAACGCACAAACTTAAAAACATAAAATAACTTGCCCGATAATTGCCATCAAACATTGCACGGAATGCATCTGAAGAAGCAGACAAGAAAAACTTGTGCGCATAGAATTGTTCCCCTGCAACAAATGCATAAGTCAATAACAGGAAGGCAACCCAAACTGATAAAAAGGACTCCAAGAGTCAGAAATTGAATTTATTCCATAACAGCACGCAAAGGATGGACAGACGATTTTTTACTTACCTTCGACCCAAAAGGTTACATCAGATGGCATGGTTTTCTTTTTGTACTGCTTCCTCAAATTGACCTACAATTAGACTGCTTCCATCAGGGCACTGGACTTTGGTCAAACTAACCTTCAGGAAGCGTCACAAAGGCATTCAAAGAAGAGAGTAAGTTAAAATGCCAAGAGATGTGCTGAACGTGAAACAATCTTCAAGAGAGTCTGAAGAACAAATCACTCAATTTCTTGGAGGAATTGATGGACACTAATCAGTTCAGGGTACCATTTTCTTTTACACACTTCTCAGTATGTAATGTAGTTGCTGCAAGGTTTGCGCAAAATAAACAGATTCTTTGACTCTGTTCTCTCTTTTCTCTAGACATGGTATGAGAGCCTAGTCAAAGAAAGAAAAAATCAAATTGAAACTTAGATATCCTCAATGCACAAATCCTAGAGAACCACTGCCATACTCGTAACCCTGCTTATGTGATACGGACATTAAATTCACGGAAGATGCATTTCAAACTCATCCCTTGAGTATTGTGAATTATGCTACTCTCTTTTATTCCACTGGGGGTGTTCCAATCTTTCCCTTTCTAGAGATTAATGGTACAGTTAATACCTTCGAACAAAAGGAAATACTAATTCACCAAGATGGTAACTATGTGTGATGGGCCATCGAATCAAGATTTATCACCTGAATAAAATTTACAATGAAACTAATGCACTGTGCATAAACATTGTGCACTAACAAGATAAAAATGAGACAACGGCTAATTTTGCTTTTAAGGCCTTAAGATGACATTGATTTCGTCCTTTCTTCCTATTTTCCAGTTTGAATGTACATGAGATAATCGCCGTATATATTGCTTTAATATGATAAAAATATTTTTAATACACTCATGGCAATGAAGAAATCAATGGCCTATTTCCATTATGGCAATGAAGAAATTCTACGCCTTGTTGGAGCCACGACATGGCATCATGCAAGTATTTCCATATCCTCAAAACGACAAAGCTGCTGCCAAACCTAATTAACCAATCTCAAAGGCCAAATGCATCAAATAAATCTACACTCCTGATGAATCTATACCGACTCTTAAATCAGTTACTATGCATGTGTTCATCCATCCTCATGTATTCACAAAAGTAGCTTATGGAAATAAGCCCGCCAGCTTCACATATCTTTCCTTTGTTGGCAAAGATAACATAGTGATGACAAATGCAAATGAATTAGAGAGAAAGTCGAAAACTGAATGTTTTGGGTTTACAATCTACCCTTTAGCCATCTATGTACCCCATATGACTACTTACAAGTACGCTCCAATATATAGCTATACTAACATATACAAGTATTCCTCAACATTCCCACTCAAGTTGGAGAACATTTATCATATGCCACCAACTTGGTACCAAAGTTGCTCACCCGAGAACTAGAAAGAGACTTAACAAATATAAAGACAAGTTGATAATTTGAATCCACAAATGCTGCTTCAAATTTACCAGAAATTCACAAATGCACTGAACCCTTAGCTTGCCCCACACACCGAATCTCAAGATTGCCTCCGTAAACGAGCGATAAGAAGCACTTGTAAGTGAAACTAGACAATGACTACATGTGTACTAAATTTGAAGTTCAGGTTTCTTACAAAGCAGAATCATGAGGCAAATCTAGATTAAAAAAAGCATACTTGGGGTGGTAGTACAGGTGGAGCTGCATCTACAGGTGAGAGACACAAAGCATGTTTGGCCAACGTTAACAAGGCTACTCCACCGTCAAGTTGCTGCTGAGGACAAGAGGAAGTAAGCAATCCTAGTAGCAATTCCAAACCTTCATGAAAAAATAGTTCACTCAGTTACTAAAAAGGTTCTTTAATGCACGATGAGTATTTTAACATGAAAAGTCAAAGCCTGAAAATGCTGAAAACTCCTCAGAGTATAAACTTGCCACTTTTGTCGAGAAAAATCATCTGGTGATCGATTGGGCAACTAAGATGAGCAAGAGCAAAAGATATTCTTTCTCGAATGGCCTTCTTTGATGCTTGCATCAAATACACCAAGTCTTTTAAAGCCTACGAAAAAGAAATTCAAAGAAGCATTCTGCATAACCTGCCTGTAACGTAAGAAGTGTGTAAAATAAGCACCAATATGAAGAACATGTCATTGAGAAGATAATTACGCACTCGTCCATGAATCTTGTTCTTTAAACTCTTCAATGTTCTTGCAACACATGATTCCACTGCCTGCAGCAAGACCAACATACTCATCGTAATGTTAACATGAAGACAGAAGAATAACTAAACTTCACACATTGAGCATGTCTTCCCAATAAAATCAAGAGACGTTGTTGGATATGAAATCTAATTTTCATAAATAAGACAAGCAATTGAAAGGAAAGAATTGCAAGTTAGTTACTCAATATATTGCTACGAAACTAGACTTAGATGGCACTAATTATTAAGAATGTGTCGTTAAACTTGGTTTAAAAGCCACATGTGTTGGACATGATTAAAAAACCCCTTCCTAATATCGATGTTCATCAAAATCTGAATCTTTTCCTAACTAGTTGAATAGTAGGTTTAAAGTGTAATAGGGCAATCGTTTTTCATATTGTCATACTATGAAAGTTAATACCACAGAGAAGTATTAGCGCATTCCCTATACCTTGGTCTTTTGGCGACTCTATTTTGGTGGTTCCAGTCTCATGTTGGCGAAATAGTATTTCCATCTAGTTTCATTACGGTTTCTAAAGGAGTTAATTGTTAATTAATGTGGCATCTGCTGGTATTGCCACATAATATGATTCCATGGAAAACCTAATGGAAGTTCGACGGAATAACTTATTTCACTAATACTGTGCATGGCCTAAAATCACCCAAAGTTAAAGTACAACCGATCATTTTGCTTTACCAAATTGCTTTAAGAGTCTAAGTACAGAGAGTATCAAAACAATTTTCTGCTAGCTCAAATTTTTGGAAAGTTGAGTAGGGCCTGATGTAGCGTATTTAGATTCTAGAGAATACCTTGCTGATGAACTTAAATTGAGATAGGAATCTCACATTGGATAATGTAATTACTAAATATGATACCAAAACAGTTAGCATTGAGACCAGTAGCATAAACAATGTAGAGTTTCCCTAGCAGTAGCAAGATGCAAATTTCATCTTCCACTTGCATAGTCAAAGTTGAATATGATCCAACATACTTGGCTAGTGAATTTCACATGTTGCAGCATCCGAAATCCATCCATGATAATGAATTCCGACAGATTATCCTGTGACAAATGAAGGAAACTATTGAGGGCATCCTCTTCAAAGTAGGCTCTTCACTCTTGGTCTACTAAATCCCTGGATAATTGAATACCTCATTATCCATTAGACACTCAAGAACACTAGCAGCAGCAGCCTGGAGTGGTCCGCTTTCCGAATCTAGAAGCCCCAGGAATGCCAGTAAGCCACCTTCATGAGCAATACCAGCTTGATTGTGTTTGTCCTGAAATTGAGAACATGTTTACTATAGTGAGATCAGTGCATCTCACAACTAGACCAATAACATAGAATATCTCACAGGCTAATATTTATCTCAGTTCTGTTGCATTCAGTAAAGATATAGTGCAATTCTGAGGAAGGATCAGTCGAACTACTAGATTTGTCGGCAAGTCATGGCGAAATTATTCTATGAACAACAAGCGAAAGACGTTGAATTCATATCCAGATGCTGAAAAAGGTGGACTGAAAATACAACTATTAAACACGTGAATCAAATGGCATCTTTATGTACTCACATGACAATAAAACATTCATAGTAAAGAGGAAACTAGATGTGTTCCCATCTTTGATGCTAAAACATGTTGCAAAAATCTATGGATAATTTATTCAAAAGAAGGGAAAATGGAAGTCGCCACCATAATTATACAAAATAAAACATTCTTATGAATTAATGACTAGTGCTGCAGCATAGAGAACAACGACCTGAGCCAACCTCCGCAGTGCCAAAGTTGACATCTCCCTCACTTTAACATTAGGAGATTGAAGCATCCCAATTAGAGGACGAACTGCACCCCTTTGAACAATAGCCTGTATACGTAATAAAAAAATGGACAACAAAATTGTGACATTACTTGTTGCTGTTGGGCAGGGAAGCTGACAGCAACAATAACATAAGGCACTGTCATGCTAACCTCTTGGCTTTGCTTTCATGTTAATTTATTATATATAATAGAATGAGAGTTTAATGAGCTTCTACTCATCAATAAATCAAACATAATGATCAAGATTCTTCCATGAAGAGAGAGAGAGAGAGAGAGAGAGAGAGAGAGAGGTAATAAATATCCCACTGACGCCCTTCCCTCTTATTTTGGGTAATCAATGGATGAAATTCAAAAAAGCAATTTCTGCTAGGAGAGGCTTAATATCTAACTAGAGAACCATCCAGTCAAAAGCCAGATCTGCACTTACATGAAAATCTGTTCTTTTAAATATACTTATGATCATTTTATGTTAAGTATACCAGGACTAATTCATTAATTCATCCACATAAGTTAAATCTAAAATAAGGTGATGCCTGCAAATTGCAAAAGCTATATCACTGGTGTGATGGATGGAAACTGCAATTGCCATTTCTAAAATCTCCGTAAGCATCAGCTCATAAAGTTGGGTTCTTGACATCAATGCAGTTTGAATTCCAGTAAAATTTCCAGTTAAAGAGAAGACTTTTATTGCTTTGCCAAATTTTGGAAAAAAGATGGAGAGAGAATTCATTGTAATGTCTCGTTCTTTTTGGCTAATATTAGGTGAAAAAAAATGCTTCTATGATCTCTGACAGCCCATAGGGGAGATATTTGGAAGATGCACAGAGTAAACAGCTCATGGCTTCTGACCCAAAAAAAAAAAACAGCTCATGGTTATTCCTATTTTTAGCGTAACGACATTTCTTTAGGAAAAAAAGTTAAAGAAAGACAATACGAGAACAAAGAACATAGAGTTATAATGAGTAAAACCGGACATTCATAAGTCACCTTACGGTCTGAATAGGCAGCAGCCAATTCTGCAAGTAGTGAAGCTGCTTGCTTTTGGACCCGCATGCTGCTAGAACTGTGATGAGATAGATTAACTATGAAGTTCAGAAAAAAATAACACAATACTTTCAAAGTTGAAACAACAAACAAAATACTGGTTGAAGTAGACATACCCTAGCAATCTTATAATTGGTTGCAATGCCCCAGCATTCATGACATGTTTCGTTAATTTTTTAGATGAGTCCACCAGAATAAGAAGTGTTGAAAGCTGCAATACCAGAAAATTAATGAATATTATCTGTTCTAGTTGCAAGATGAGTTAAAAATCAAATATGAGCTTAAGATAAATGAAGTACACAGACTCTCATTACCGCCACATAGTTGATCTCGTCATTCTTAGATTTGAGCATAAAAGCAAGGGTAGGAAGAGCTCCACACTCCACAATCTGAAATACAAGTTATATGAATTTTCTGCAGATATCAATGCAGATGGAGAAACAAATAATAATAATAAACTTGCTGAAATGTGAACTCCACCTGATCCTTGTTCTCATTGTTTTTTTTAGCCAGGATCCGCAATGCCCTAGCAGCAGCCCCTTGAACATTTATGACATCAACATCAAGCAACTCAACAAGTAGCGGAATACCACCTTCCATCCTACATATCCACCCATAGAATCAAGGAATGATCTAGCATTGACAAATCACAACTTATTCTACAAGTGCAAGTATGTGAGCATAAAAACCTGACGTGGATTTGGACACTGCTATTCTCCCAGGCAAGCTGACTAATAGCCTCGGCTGCTCTTTCGGTAACATCATTCAACGATCTTGAACTAGGGCCGGCTTTGTGCCTCTTCAGCAGACTAACAAGATGGGTTATGGCGCCACTATCGACTATGAGTTGTTGATACTCAGGCTGTAGACAGAAAGGATGTAGAGAATTCAAACATTTTGAGCAATATCAATAGCACTTGACCAAAGACCTAGCGTATCAAACTCAAAAGTCTGAGCACCCAAGTGGGGCAGGCCAACTGTGCATAACCAGCAAAAATGAGAAGATCTTAGGTAAGTTGGACTAGAAACGGAAGTCTTATCCTAATATAGACTACAAAAGAAGGAAGACAAACAGTCACTAGGAACATACGGAAGTACTTGTTTCAAGATAGAGTCGAGTGGTCTTAATAGCAATGACCAATTGAGTCGTTCTCAGATAGCCTTGGGATAAAACTGACCGGTCAGATTGTCTAGCCAGCAGTTTTTTCATGCATGTGTTGTATTGATGATAAAGTGTCAAAAGCAATCGCAGAATAGAAGACCAATTTTATTCCTGAGTAAAATAGATGCACTTATTCATCCTAATGCTCCTCAGTTGCATTGCCGCCCTGGTCATGTCCGGAAAGTTGATGGCACAAATCCAGTTGTCAGTACAATAATGAAGCTATGTTGATTCTGTAATCTAGTGTAGTAATTAGACAATAGAAAGAGTGGATCCAAATCCAATGGCCGATATGTTGATTCACTTAGATGCTCTCAAAAGAACTTAGTCAAGCCGTGAGATAGAAGATTTCTTTAAACATATACCAGTTGATAAATAAGCCCTACAGCCGTAAAACTAAGAGCAACAGCGACAACTCAAATTGCTTTACAGGCACTTTCTGCTTCCCGGATGGATCAATCATGTCAAAGTCGAATGCCAGCTCCTACCATGAAGTACCAAATACAAGTTGTGAGATAGCTAAACTAAGTGAAAATTACTTTAAGTGGCCGATCGAAAGTCAGAGAGTAGACTCCCATGGCAACTTCAATTCCATGAGCATTTTCCTGATCCGTGTGAACTTTCCGAACAAAATTTGATTACACAAATAAAAATAATCTAGCAAATCTTATTATTTTTGTTCATCCGATTGCTTACGTAGTTCAATCTTGTTATAGGTTAACGCCGCTACACAATCTTGATCATCTGTGGCCAGTTAAGTTTGTCAGCATTAATTACTTTGCCGAATATGTCGACTAATAATTATCGTATGTGACAGTATAAAAACCGGTGATGTCACTTGCCAGTCGCAATTTATAATTATCGATGTTAACTGCAGTCGGCATACAAGTTACGCAAATACGTAAGACGTAAACATCTATATACTCCACTTCCAAGAAGAAACTGCATAAACATTAGCAATATGAAACCCAACTCACGTTCTTAGCAAGTATGGTCAGGATAGCTGCGCTTCCCTCCTCAACTTGGTGCTCAAGATGCTTCTCACACTGGTCCCCTTCTCCTGAAGGTGGAGCTCGCAAATGCTTCACCAAAGCAGGTATCGCTCCATGTTTCACCATCACTTCTGCAAATTGCTCTACCAAAAACATAAAATAGATGCAGTGACACAAATTAGACAAAATCAACCGGCGCACGTCCACGCAATCAATCAACACTACACTAAGCAGACTAATCAAGCATTATATAATCTGAAGGAAAGACAGTAGATCATGATGGACACAAAATCTGACGTCGCACTGTGACTGTACCCTCAATAGCGTGGCGAGCTAGCAAGTAGACTGCGACTTTAGCAGCGACTCTATCGGATTCCTCCCAAGAGAAGGAGCGGTTGAGGATATCGATCCTAGGGACCACCAGGCCATCCAGTGATTTGATAAAGCCCATCTCCATTAGCCGATTTACCCGAGAGATGAACTTCTTGTGATCTGTGTAGGAAAAGTTCTGGAACTCATCGCGCCACAAGACGGTCTTTCGGCAATTGATGCTCTCAGGCTCGTGGACGGTCTTGTCGTCCAGCTTGCGCTTCCGTCCATTCTCCTCCGGCAGGTCGTTCACGGCGTCTTGGTCGCAGTTAGAGTCCATGGAAGGGAAGAACGAGGATGGATTGCAGAGAGGGAGAGGTGAACTGACGATGAAGAGAGCAGAGAGTGAGGTTGGCTTTGAAGTTTACGTTACGTTTGTTCGTTCTCCCTTACCGCTTGTCCTTTAAACGACCAATGCTGCATGAACCGGGTGTTCATGAACAGCTGAGATTTCACTTGCCTCATAAAACCCGGAGCATTTAATGATCTTTACATTTAAAAAATGATGCAAAATGATAATGAATAAGTCATATTCAATATTCAAGTTAATACGGCCATTTCATAAACTAAACTTGGCATACTTTAGGATTTCTTTCCAAACAATGGTAAAATACAACTTCACTTTTGCCAGTTCCTTTCCTTACTTCCCGCTGATTCTCGTTTTGGCTAAACTGGATTTTTCTTTCCTAATCCAAGTTGGATTGAACCAGCCAATTCAAGGAAGAATTTTTAAATGATCCTGGTGCATAGGAGTCGGATGCATCTCAACCCTTGCATCATCAGGGTGGAGATGCATTGGCCTCATAAGTACCCGGTGCAACTAAACTATCTCCTACTCAATCTCCATGGCTATTTGCCTTTTAAAAGAAAATTTCTACCTTTCCTTTCAATTTATTTAATAAAGTGCTTGGACTTTCAATTTGTCTAATCAATTTTTTTCATTTTCACAAATTTTTTAATTAAGTCCCTTCAACACATAATTTGATCACGTGTCATTGTCACAAGATGTAACCTATACATAATAGAGCTTTTTGTTCATATAAGCACAACTCCCACGCATTGCTGAATTAGGTCAGTCCCATGAAAATGCACACGATACATATGAATTGAGCCCCATGCATCGGATTTTTTTTGTAAAAAGTTACAGTGGCTCGAAGAGGTAGCACAAGCAGTAGTGAAGTGACAATCGACAAGGCTGGATACCGGCCGGACCTGGTTGTCTTGAATCTGGATCAACACGCCCAACTATTTGTCAAACCAGACTGAAAGTCTGGAACAAGATTTGTCAAAGATATATGCAATGTTTGATTATAAATGTTACTGGGCCCATTTAATCACCTGGTAGAAATTTGTCGCATTCTCCGACAAATGATTAATATAAGGGTAAAATTGTTTCGGGTTCCTTAAAATAATCAAATTGGGTTGCATCCCTCCATATGCATTTTGTGGATACTTGTAAGTCAGTCCGATGATGGGTGAGAGTGATAAACGGATCAAGAGGGTCTGGACAAGAAATGGGTACAGAAAGGCTTCTAGGATGGTTACGGGGACAAGCTTCAATAGAATTGTACATCTAATAGGCAGAGCATCTTTGGATTATATACGTGAAACTGTAATTGACTTACAAGAGCACCTTCTGACTTATATTTAACATTGGAACTCCAATGTTAGGCGTGCTCAAGTGATAACATTATCAAGATGGCTAACCTCTTGGGAAAGTGTAACTTGCACGCCAAACGAAAAAAACCGTGATACTTGGTGTGGGACTGTCCAAAGCTTGAGTGAATCTAGTAGGTCTATGATCCAAGGATGAACCAAGTGAAAGCCGGTGGACTTGTAATAATCTGGTCCGACGATGGCGGGGAGTGTTCTCTAGGGTGAGAGAGCTTGGACAAAAAGCAGCTCCTAAAAGGGTTATAGGATGGCGAGAAGAGGGCAGGAATTAACCTAATTACTCACCATGTAGGGGAAGAGCTTCTTGGATTATATATGTGTGTCGCGACCCTCCCAAAAGTGAATCACAAAGAGAAGGCTAATGGACTATTAAGCGCGGTGCTCAACATGAGTTCTCACAAGCCCTATCAACCGCCACTTGGTATACTATTCAACATGCAATTAAACTTACTTTTTGGAGTCGCTAATGGACTACTAAGTGTGGTGCTCAGCACGAGTTCTCACAAGCCCCACCAACCACCACTTGGTATACTATTCAACATGCAATTAAACTTACTTTTTGGAGTCGCCACTAATCAGTTAATCAGTTATGAGTCAATTAGCAACCGGAGGAGAGGCACTGGACGGAAAAGAGAGCCATGGGAGAGGGTTCCGTCGCTGTTTTGAGAGAAGCTTCGCGTCAAGAACTCTTTTGAGTGTGCTCTTTGTATGTGTTCTGAGTGTTTGTACAAGAGCCCTATTTATATGTGTTAACCTCGAGTTTGAAAGGCTTGAAGCGCGAATATTCTCCATCAATCCACGTCTTCAGCCGATTATTTTCCTTTCTTGTTTTTTCAATTCCTCCCACTTTTACTTCCTTCTGATCTTTATAGAAAGAATATATCTAGCGAATATTTTCATAAACTCCACCATATCCTCTCAAAATGGCGTTAGTGATGAAGTAAATCATTGCAAGATGAGAAATAGTATCTAAGGAAATTCCCTCTCTCTCTCCAATCGCTCTCCTTTTGGCCAAGAATCATGCAGAAAATTGCTTTGAATCTTGCTTAATCTTGGCAAAGAAAAGATCAAATTTCGCCGAATTGATCTCTTCAGCGACACCAAATTTAGTTGTTTCCTTTCAACCCGCGGATATTCCCAATTTGCATATCGTAATTGCCTTTTTTTCATTTTGAATTATTGACCGAGATCAAGAGCATGAGATGGTTAGCTATCTACGGGAGATGAACCTAAGTACGCTTGTCCGTGAGGGCGTCACGCGACAAAGAGTAATGTTGCATGCATCAAGCCTGGTAGTATCATGCGGAAGTCACGCGATGACTTAAAAATGCAAAAATTAAATAATGCAAGTTATATTTTTGTTTAGGGGTTGGGATCGACGCCTCACTTTCTATGCAATAGATGACTAAGTGGGTTGCCAAATTTTTTCTGTCAACAATCTGAAATTTGGAATTAACTCCTAAGAGGTGCTTTTACTCCATGTGACATCCTGAAAATTGTCCATTTGGGATTTATGAAATGCTTGGTTTTATGAACGTACTCGTAGTTAGTTCTCGTCCGGAACTGATCATTTCTGGGGTACTAACCATTAGGGAAAGGCTAATTAGGGATTTAGATTCTTACGACTAAAAGAAAATTCGATCGTGAATTGATTTTCGACCATAAAATCGCCGATGTGACATTTTGAGCAACTGTAGGCCGATCCAAGGATAGCCAGGGGTCAGTTCGCCACTGTCATAGTAGTGGATCGCGGGTGATTCCGCTGGACCATGAAATGAATTGACGTATGATCCTGAACCTATACCGAACGATCGTGCCCCTCGGATCTAGCGATCGATCCTCGCGATTATATTGACAACCGAGGTCATCATGATCCGAATGGACTTGCACGTGACTTGATTTAGTATTAGTCACGAGTCGAATATGCGAATTTCCCCAAAAAGCCACTCGTTAGTTTGAGAAACGCTCGAGTTACGTTTAATAAAATTTAATTATTTATTTAAGCCCAAATTGGACATCGGAAAATTAGGAAGTCACGACGGGACGTTAGGACGACGTTGTGGTTGGAACGTACAGCTTCAGATTTTCCCGAATCCTTCAGAAAAATTCGATTTTGGCGAGAAATGAGGAAAGTGACCATTTTACCCCTAAGAATTTGTTAAGGGCAAGTTTTAAGAGGGAAGGGCATTTTGGTCATTTTGCCCTAACTTTTGAGTTGGACAATTTTGCCCTTGGATATTTTTGAAAAAGATTCGATCTGGGTCGTCGATTCCAAGATAAGATCGAATCTCAGCCGTTGATTAAAAAGATTAGAGAGGGGCAAGATGGTAATTAACCAAAAAGTGGTCAAATTTGGACTTTTAAAAGACCAAAGTCTCTCTCTCTCTCCTCATTCTCTCTCTCTCAAACTCTCGGCTCTCTCTTTCTTCCTCTCCCTCACCGCCGACCGCCCCTCCCCTCGCCGAGCCGCCGCCGCCAGTCACCGCTCGACCGGATCGCCGCCTTGCCACCGCGTTGTAGCCCCACCCTCACGCCGTGCCACCGCCGTCTCCCTCTCCCTCTCCCATGGCCATGAGCCGCGGCAAGGAGGCCGTTGCCGCCGCAACACGCCGTCCAGGCCACCGCCGAGCCGTTCGCCGCTCGCCGCCGCCGCCAGCCGCCGCATGGACCGCCGATCACCGCCCGTTTTCCCGCTCTAGCCGAGTTAGTCTAGAGTCCGGTAAGTTGCAATCTAAACCCCGCCTAGTATATCGGGTATTATCGAACCCGTTTGGACGTGATTTTGTGTAGTTTAGGGGTTGATTCGATTGGCAGGCCTTAGGATTGAAATCGGAAGATTTTGGTGGATTTTTAGAGGCCGATCGATGGCTGGAAATTGCTGTTTTAAGTGTTGTGATGTGCTGTTTGGTGTGTGGTTGGTGGCATTAGATCCGGCTCGGAATTTCGTGAAAGTGCTGTGAAGGGCTGGGAGTGAGATATCGTAGTTTTGGTGTTGAAAAAGGGCAAATTGCGTGTTGGTTGTACGTTGTGATGTGGCTGAATTGATTTGTTTGATTTGGGCGCCTCTGAGTGCGCGTATTTAATGCCTGAGTATGCACACGCGTGAAATTTATGGTGCGCGACGTGCGGGTGATCACAAAAAGGCCCGGAGGCGTGTTGACGCGAGTTGTGATATGATTGTGGGATCAGACCGAGGCATTATAAGCTCGGGTTTCTATCACATAGGTCTATCGCATTTGGCGCAGGCTGACGAAAGAAAGTGAGAATGAAATCGGTCCGAGGCACGATCAGCTCGGGTGAGACCAGGATCGGACCGGGGCATTATAAGCTCGGGTTTCGATCACGTAGGCCTGTCGCATTTGGCGCATGCTGAGGAAAGAATGTGTGAATGGGATCGGACTGAGGCGTGTGATGCTCGGGGCGCGATCGTGTGGACCTGAGGAGTGTATACGCGGGCCGAAGAATGTGATTGAGAACGGGGTGTGTGGCACGGTCAGAGAAAGTGGGATCGGACCAAGGCGTGTGATGCTCGGGGCGCGATCGTGTGGGCCTGAGGCGTGTTTACGCGGGCCAAGAAAGTGATTGAGCTGGTGGGGTACGACGAGGAAAGTACATGAAATTGATGTGATAGTGCATGATTGATGTGTGTTTTTGGTATGGAA